GCCTCCGCGCCAGGGAGGCGGTGGGGGAGGCCGTGAGGCCTGACTTGGTTCGGCCTGGCCCGGCCCAACAGAGCATCAGGGGCCACTGGCCGAGCGGGGGAGCCCAAGCGTTACGGAACCCGCAGAACGGTGACCTGAAAGGGGTAACGTGGAAGCGAGTTTCTTGGTTTCTGTGTGTGTGTGTGTTGTGTGTATTTATATTTATGTACAGAAGCAGTGCAGTTACCTGCTTTCTGTCATAAGCATTTTATCCAGTGTCTGTTTGTCTTGGCAGGAAGCATCTTCAGACACAAGAGCTGCAATGTTGGGCGTTACAAGGAGTTTCTCAGCACATGTTCCGAAATCGTGTTTGTGCAGTGAGGTAAATGTCCCCCAGGTTTGGATACTCTTGCTGTCAATAGAAGTTATACTTAGTTTACTGTGAATGAACATTTTTTTTGTCTCGACTTCAAATTAAACAGGGCATCTGAATAAAATACAAAGTTTATTTTCTGTTATACTCCAGCTTCATACAAGTCAGCCTAGAAACTATTTGTAGCATTTTTGTAAACTATTTTTTTTTCATTGCCTATGACTTTGGTCACTTAGTGTTTTTCATTTTAAATGAATATAGTTTAAATAAATACCTAGGTGTGTCAGAATACTGTAGTTGTTGACCACTTACATTGATGTTGTCATAAATTTCTACTAGACTTTTATATATTGGGGTTGAACTCGGTTTGAACTTTGGTGCTACTGTCTTTATGCTCCTATTTCCAAATAGGTGGCAATTTGAGTTTTTGTAAATACCAAACGAGTTCTGTTCCTGCTGATTTTTTTATATTTGCTTTTCTATCTGCAAAGTAATCATTTATAATAATAATTTTTCTGCATGTTTTTTCCTATTAAGTGTATGCATTTCTGGAAGAAAAGGATGAGAATCTTAAGTTTGACAGAGCAGAGCTGCAGTCAGAGAAGCTACAGTACCCTGCCAGGTACAACTTTAAAATTGTTTTCTAATTTTACTTCATTTATAGGTTAGTAGTGGTAGCAACCACTCTAAAATTAGTAAGAATGCTTCCTATACTGTGTTTTGTTACATTATTTTAGAGTTTTTTTTTTTAAGTTTGGTGTACAGAACACTAGCAAAGCAGATAAAATGTTCAGGGGTGGAAGAGAGGTGTTGCATATAGCTGACTTTTTCACAGTAGGTGCATGGTAGGCACATTAGGAAATAAAATACCAAAACACATGGATAAGAAATCAGGTCACACACATCAAGTGTGCGGGAACTTGTGCCCAATTGCCTGAAGCGTTAGTTTGTGATCAGGTAAGTGTGGGTAGCCAGTGTGCTGGGTAAGGGGAAAGATGGGACTTTCTCATTGAAGAGAAGGAAGCGTTAAGTAACCATTAGTGAATCTTTGCACACTCAGGATTAACAAGAGATAAAAGAAAAAGATATCTAAAAAAACAGAATTTTAATTAAAGGTAGTCGATACTGTTTTCTGAGTAGCTGCATTGCCATTCCATGGAAATGGATTAATAGGATAGTGTTGGAAGTCAGGCCGTTGTTTTTCACAATGATTTTCCTGAAGAGAGAGAGAGAGGAAGAAGAGAGTGATCATAGGTAGGTAGCCAACATCTGTGTTTATGGGTGCATTGCTGCATGTCTTGGCAAAGCTCTTAATCTGCAGTCATGCATCTGAGAAGATTTCCTCTGCTTTGTTCCTATTGGCATCATAGTCCATGTTGCTATAGGTTACTGTTTTTGTGTAGTTGTCTATGCAACGTCCCTGCGTGATGCATTAACGTCCAGTGCTGCTGCCCTGAATACTTCAGGGTGTCATGTGGAGCTTCATCCCATACATAAGAAGATTCGATGGCTTAAGCAGGAAATCTCCAAAATACTCGACAGTTGATTTATTTTAGCAACTGGAGAAAAAAATAGCAGTGTTAGTTGGAGTTTTTATTTGGAGCTTTTCTTTGGTGAATTTTGAGTCTGCCACCTTCAGCTTTTCTCACCATCAGATACCTTAACGTGTAAAGTATCTCTGTAATGTTGCTTGTGATAAAAAGGATGATTTGAAGATGATGAGATCTCTGTAAACCCTGTTAGTGAGACTGAGCTGAACTGTAGCATGTTGTTATTGTCAGGGGGAAAATGATAAATTTAGTTTCCCTGCAGTCTCTCCAGTCCTTGAAGGAATTCAATATCAGACTCAAGGGTCATAGCAGTCTCTAGTTGTGCTGTATTTTGACCTTTTAAGTTGAGCTCCCTGTTCGCTACTGTATATGAGAATGTTAGAAATTGGGCCTGTGCAGTGGTTGAACTTGGTGGCTTACTTGTTTAGAAATGTGGGGATGCTTACCCTTTTATTAAGGAGAAAAAGTAACTCAAACTTTAGTTTTAATTTAACTCGATTAACCTTTAATTATTAATTTCTAAAATGTCAAAATCCATACAGTAAGTATAGCTATTTTTTTAATGGTGATACTGTCTTTCTCTGAAAAAGTGAAAGTTTTCATAGCTTGTTCATATACAAAAGGGACAGTTATTTCATAATTTCCCCCACGATTTTTATTCAAAAACAACTCATTTTTTCATTTATTTACTCATCTGTTTTCCTAATTCCTGTTCACAGATGTTGATGATGGGGGTACAGTGACGGATTTCATGATACAGGAGCAGGAGTGAAGTATTACCATTCAGTCTGCTGCTGGTACTTTTGACTGGAAAGACTATAGAATCAACCTGATTGACACCCCAGGTACTACATTGTAGGAGTACTCTCATTATTAGGTGAGTGTAGATGAGGTGGGGTGTCATAGAGCATAAGTCTTGGGTTTAAAATATGGTATGATATTTAATTGGTTGAATTGCAGCAGTACATGTTCAAAAATGTTCAATCCTGTTCAATTTATTCATCA